CGCTCGCGCTTTTCGTTCCTCTTCTTCTCGCGGCTCGTTTTCCTCTCTCTCTCTTTTTTTCGCCGGCTTAATTTATCAAAAGAGCAAAAAGAAAGAAAAGGGATAATTTAGTGACAGGCGAAAAGGCGAAACGCGTCAATCGAGTAGGTATATCTCCGGTTCGTTCTTCCTTTTCTTTCTTTTTCTTCCATCGCTCCCGTGTCGAGATACGCGCGCGTTCGCCTCCAATAAAGAGCTTATCGTGCGTCATTACAAGAAAAACGAGACGCCATTAGCGCACCGTTGAATGGATAGCTCGCGTTCCGTCTCGCCCACGCGCGATACCACGCGTTATCGCGACAATTCATCCGGTCGGGAATATCTTAATTGAATCGAAAAACTGTTTCTCGCTTGGACAGAGCAACGAACCGGCTCTGGAGTAGAAAAGGTGCACAACGATATACAGGGATATTTATCGGTCGGACGATTATTCTTTCGGATTATCGCGGGATTACCTGGAAAGATAAAAAGCCGCGAGGGATGGAGGCTACCAGAGCGTGGTAATTTTCTACGTGGTCCATCGACAACAATCGGATCGTTATTCCAGCTGCGAACGTACGTACATCGGGCGCCGCGATCAGATTTAATCCAAAACTGAAATTTCAGCCGCGCTTGACGAACACACCGCCGCTCGATTCCGCGATTTAATGCGAAACGAGTTTTCGTAAAACAACGGCTCAGTCAAGTCGATCAACAACGAATTAAGTTATACCACGGGATTATATTATTTCGTAAAAAAATATCTTATTTAAATTATTTTGCTTTCGGTTTTATCACCGAAATTTTTAACCCTGCTGATCCATTGATCTCTCGTCAAAATGACGATTGTATTTGCGAACGAAACAAGTGCATCCGAGGATGCACAGTGAAGAGCATAACTGTCACAATAACGACGACAAAATTGTCGATCGTTTTCTTTTTAACCCGTGTAACTTTGTAAAGAAAAGATCGTATAACGATCCATTTGGTCTCGTTCTAAAGCACGAAGCTTGTATTTTGACAGTCGTGAATTTGTTCTTTTCGAAAATGGCTTTACATCACGTGGGAAGCTGAGGACACGTTTCTCTCGAAAATTGTAAGAATTCAAACGCGCGTAAAAACATTAAAAAAATTTTCTCATCTAAAATTAAAATTTTCTTCTTTACAACGACCTCTTAAAATTCGCTGTACGATTTTTTTTTTCACCATTTTATTGGAACATTAGGGTTAGATGATAAAATGTTGAGATCTTTGAATTTCTGTCGTTTAATCCTAATATTCAACATTCGATAAAACAACGAAGAAAAAATTGTAGCACGAGTTTTAGGGAATCATCATTGTGAAGGGAAAGCTTCAAAATGATTGGTGGATCGCGAGAAGAATTTTTTAATATTTTTACACGCGTTTGAATTTCGAGAATTGTCGAGAAAAAGAAAGAACTAAAGGACCCAAGGAATCGCCAAATTGGGACATCCATGTTTTGTTGTTAACGCTGATATCAACGTTCTTGTATCTCATAAACCGAAGAGCAACAAAATAGAAGTGAATATCAATGATTCTATCAATAAATCGAAAATAATACATTTCTATAGTAACATCAAGGATATCGATAGTCTGTTGAATATTAGTTTAATGATCTAGTGTTAAATTTCACGTTTAATCATGCAATTGTTGTAGATTTTTTTTTTCTCCAATTATATTATTCAATTTTTCAATTTTCTTGAAACAAATACAACATTTGCCGTAATACCTTCAAGTGTGACGTATATGCTTCGGTTATATTACAATTACAACCGTAAAGAGAAAGTAAAAATTACGCAGAGAGGCAAGATGTAAAAAAGGAAAAAGAGATTCGAGCGACGAATCATACCCTGCCCTAACGTTTCTCTTTTCATACCTAATTCTCCAAAGAACGTGACTCAAAAGTCGAACGACACAAAGCTAGAAAAATGTTCAACGTCTCTCGAAAGCTTCTATCAATGTCCTAAGCGATGTAACGAGTCCTTCGACGACTTGGTTGCTTTAAAGCGGACCAAGAAAAAGCGTGTTTGTACATCGTTTCTTTGTATCTTCTCTCTCTCTCTCTCTCTCTCTCTCTATATATATATATATATATATATAT